TGGGCTCTCATTGAGTGCAGTGCTTTATGCACTGCCTTGAGGAAGGCTTTTCTGACTGTGACTTTCGAATTTGTTGTTGTTGTGACTTCAGTGTGCTTGGACTTCGCCTATATATGACTTGACTTGATTTGACCTTTGCCTATCTTCAGTGCTATGCCATGCTCATGATATATGTCTTCGCAACTCTGGCTCCTTATCGATAAGACTGTGCTATTCTCCATGTCATTCTCTCTATGAGTCTCCCTTTGTTTATCTGGACCAGCATGTTACTACGCTCAGGCAGTGCGATATCATAGTCGATATGCTGCTCATTTTGCGCGTATGTTGCGACTCCCAGCACTCTACCCGCTTCCATCAAACCCCGCGACACGCACATTTTGAACAAGGTATTGTCCAGTCAGCTTCTGCGCCTGCAGTTCGTTATGCTCAGCCTCTTCTGGCTGGATATTCAACGCGACCAGCGCAGTCGAATGAAGGACGGCAGGACAACTGTGACTTACCTTTGGAGGACGAGCACGACAACCGCCGCGACAACAACCGAGGAGCTATCGTGGCCTTTACGCGTGGCCAGTCACTGATCAATAAGAAGCTAGACGTCGACTTCACCGCAGTGCAAGACGTCTCGACCATCCAGGCTATCACCAAGCACGCTACGTACATCCGTCCACGCGCTCCATGCCTTTACACGCTGACTTTTGACTACCAGGGTACTGTGCTACGAGCATACTCTCCCCCAACATCGCCGCAATCCGCTCTGCCACTTCGAAGTGAGACGAACACGTTCCCGATGTATACGCTGCCAACCGTTCTTAACCCCGCGCGAGACACCCACCGTTTGAACGACTCAAAGGTTGCCGTTGAAGTGCGCAAGATCGGCAGACAAGGAATATACCAGCATGCGGGCAGGGATGCAGGAGTTGCTGGGTGCATACACTGGGACGCTGGACCTGCTTGACTCCCATGCTCGCATGCGCTTGGAGAAATTGGGCAAGGCTCATTAGGGATACTACAGAGTCTATTAGATATCACAGGCAAGCACAAGGTCAATCGACATCACGCGCACTCAAATATATCAGTAGAAATGTAAACATCGGTTAAATAACCAAAGCGCTATGCTACAAGAAACGGGTGTATATACACAAAAGAAGCGAAACAGTCGTCGTGTCCAACGAACGAACCATCAAAAGGTGATCTCTCTCAGAAGAAGGGTATCCATCAAATCATATCATCCCCAGCGTGTCTACTCGACGTTTACAAGAAAGAGCGAGCGTGGCGGCGAGCCTTGGAGGCAGAGCCGCTGGCCTTGCCCTCCAACCAGGTGATGAAGGTGTCGATGGTGAAGCTCTCGGGGAGGGCGTCACCGCCGGTGGAAGGAGCAGCGGAGGGAGTGGCGGAAGGAGCAGTGGAAGGCTCGGCCTCGGGGGTAGCGATGGGGCTGGCGGAAGCAGCAGGGGTGGACGGGCTGGCGGCGGGAGCAGAGGGGCTGCTGCTGGCGCTGGGAGCAGTGGAAGGGGTGCTGGGCTTGGTGGGAGTGGTACCGTTGCTGGGAGCGGAGCCAGAGCTGCCGGAACCGAAGAGAGGAGGGCCGGGGACGGTGTAGTCGATGTTGGCGCCGTAGGGGCTGAAGAGGATACCGGGGTCGGTGGGAGTGTAGAGCTCAGTGCCGATAACGCCCTCTGGGGTCTCGGTTCCGGAGCCAGTGACCTCGATGTTCAAGCCTGGAGATTCAATTAGTGATTGGTTCTTCATGTGACTGGCGGGGTATGCTTACATTGAGGGTAGTTCTGGGCGCCGTTAACGTCACCACCGCCGTGGAGGGCGATGATCTCGTGGCGGAAGACGTACTTGCCAGCGGCAAGGCTCTCGGGGACAGTGACGGGCCAGGTGTTGTTCTGGCCAATCATCTTGACGGCAGCCCACTCGCCGTTCTCGTAGCCAACACCGTCGATCTTGGTCCACTTGAGCTCCTCCTTCTTGACGGCGGTAACGTCGCCAGTGTAGGGAGCGACGTAGGTGATGACGGGGCCGACGTGGCTCTCGGGCCAGGTGCTCCAGTGGAACTCAACGGTGCCACCGGCGGCGACCTTGGCCATGGTGTCGGAGCTGCCCTCGGGGCTGGCAGCCTTGTGGCAGATGATGTCGGCATCGCCGAAGGAGTTGGGCTCGACGAAGCCGTTGTCGAGGTTCTCGGCGTACCAGCCAATGTGCTCTGGCACCTGGCCGCCGTTCTGCTTGGCGTAGTAGTAGTCGAGGCTGAAGCCCTGCTGGAAGACACCGTCGATGGTGACGCCGTTGACAATGCCGTGGGCAGTGGCGGTGGCAGCGAGAGCCGCGATGGCGCTGAGGGAGGTAACGGTCTTGTACATGTTGACTGATGTAGATGAAGTTCTTCGAAAGAATGGAGTTGGTGGGTTCGATAGAGACGAAAGTTTGGAAGTTGTTGAAAGAGTGTCTGCCGGCTTCACACAGTGAAGGACTTGATGAACGAATGTGAGTTGAAAAGAAGGGACTGGTATAGAACCGAAGATTGAAGCTGTAGCGATGGTGCTTGGAGTGAGGTACCAGGTGCCCTATTTATTCAGTTCAGTCTCTGCTCCTACAAAAGCTCGGCATACATCGACCCACATCCTGGGCGACTCGCAAAATGAGAGCCCAGAATGGTGGGTTCATGCCGGGCGCGCAGGAATATGCATCCCGCGTTGTTTGAATCGCCATGTTTCCTGTTGCGGAGAGACAAGCGACATTGTCAGGATGCGCAGGCCGTTTCCTGCCTGCAGCCAAGAGCCATCTCACGGCTCCGGACCAGTTCCAGAATCACTGCGCCCTGCCACATTCCAGTTCTCGGTCTCCGGTATGCATCGTACGCAGCGTATTCGTCGTCATGAATCGTTCCGGTCGGCGTTGTTGTGGTTTCGGGTTCGAGCGACAACGTGCAGCGGGGCCGCGCGAAACGTGCATCCCGCGTGTTCCTGGATCCGCCCTTGCATAGTAGACGCCGCCAAGAGCTTAGTTGTTTCTGTCAAACGAGGTGCCGAGAGCGCCGCATTTTGTGGCGCCTGTCAGATGTCTAGATCCGATCGTGCTGGGTTGGTAGATGTTGTGTTGATGAACGGTAGGGTTGATGTTCATGCCCTCGATGGCGGGCTTGAAGGGCACGTCAGTAAGACGGTCCGGTTGCCGAACCCAGCTGCCGTGACCTCATCATGTCATCCCATCTCCAAGACACTCCGACCGACCCAAATTTGTCGCATGCAACACCAAGCTTCCTTCGATCCTGCACAATATCCACACCGATGTTGTCGACTCGTCGTCTTCGCGCGCGCAACCGTTATGCGCCCCTGACAGCGTAACCGATCCTTGGGGCCCACCACCGAACTTCGCGTGTGCAGCCTGGTTTCAGACGTGAAACGGCCAATATTGCCCCCAATGGTAGTGGACGGAGATGCGCCTAGATCGAGGCAGGCGTGTTTGACGACATCGTCGTCGATATTAATCAAGTCGGGTATTCGGGGGCGGCGCTTCTTGGACGGCTGGCGGTGCAACTGCATGTCAGGCGCGGCGCCGTCGACTTTAACATCTTTCTACCTCTGTCTTTAACCGTTCTGCCTTTTAGGCTGTCGATGTATATGGTGTGGGCCTGAGGCTGTTTCTTCTTCTCTATGTCTCAAACGTAGCTCGTGATGAACATCCACAGCAGGTTGGTGTGACGGATCTGTCCTGCCGTCTTGCCTACCACAGTGCGTGTCTCTCGTTCCATCTCATACTGTCACTCTGTCTGAAGCTGTTTGGCGTCTTTCCAGTCATTATTTCAGGGTTCTGTCTCCATCGCGTATGCTTTACGTCCTTTGTACATATTATCAATTTCCCTCAGCAGAATTTCATGTGCATGTCAGGCTGCGTTGTTTTGGAATGCATGTCAATGTAGCTCCCTTGAACAAACTTCTGGGTGTGTCATTACCTCGTCGTTCTCGAGGTGATGATGTCACTTGGTCGCGTACGCCTTGAAGCAAAGCCAAAACACCACACTGAGCAACCAGCATTACAGCTCCGCGTACAGCTCCAGGCACCATCATCACGATCTCATTGTCACTGTAGAACCACTCAAGTACCTCCCCACTCACTCATCGTGCTGCTCTCGCTTCAGCCAGGAGGTGATGTCACCCTCACTATCCCACATATACCGCGTAAACCCTTCTTCTTCCATCAAAACAACCCAAACCGGGTCTCTTAGTGGAGTGGTAACACGTTCACCAACAGCTCCTGTGAGTACAGAGTGTCAGTTGACGCTGGCACCATCAGTGTCCCGGTCACTTGACTGGTGATAGCTGTGCTTTGCAGTGTTTGTGAGAGACGCTTGTTCGACTCAAGCAGAGACCAAGTATATCATCTTTTTTTGCTGCCTTTAAGTACGTACGCAAGATAAGGTGAAGGAGAACGGCGTTTGCGTGGGTGTGCCGCTCCAATTGTGATTCTCGCTGGCGGCTTGTTTGGGGTGAAGGACAGTGCATTTTTTTACCGACCTTGTCTTCAGTTTTCCACACAACTCTAATTATTCTATATGTATTATGGAGCCGGCTCTTTCTTCATCAAAACACACCAGGCTTCTTGGTCTAATGGTATGACGACACAGACCGACAGGTTCTCCGTCAAGGTCATTTGTATAGTATGTGTGTTGAAGGTAACTTCGGACCTGCTTGGAATGCCATCGTGGCGCGCCCTACTTGTGTAGATCAAGGTTCGATTCCTTGAGAAGCTATCATTTTTTGCTTTTGGACAGGTCCCAGATCATGTCTACATCGGCTCTCTTTTTGTTCAAGGTCTGGGCAACTTTCTCTTTTGAGGAATGCGACGGCGATAGAGGTTGAGTATCTATATCTCACGACGTTAATGTAGACCCTACGGCCCTGTATACCTTGTTGTTGCGCTGATTGCGTTCTTTTTGTATCCTGTAAAGCTTGTTGTGGTATGGCACGCGTTGATTGAAAAGTATACGTAAGCGGCTACTCCAACCACGCCTGCAGACCGCCAACCAGCAAGACAGCGATACCCAACACCCATTGCGCAACCCCAAAGGCACCCTGTACGTCGCCCTTCCTAACCGTCCACAGAATCGCGAAGACCGTACTACCCAAGCCGCAAACTCCCATCGTCACTGCCCACACGCGCTGCGCAAGGAACCCCTCCACAAGATGAACGCCCCAGCCCATACCGAACTCCAACCGCTGCCTCCGCTTCGGACTGCGAAGATACGTTATCAGCTCACCCTCATAATCCTGCGGATGCTTGAACAAATGGAGGAGATACGTGCTACCAACAGGCGGCAGGAGATCGTTGGGCTCGAAGGTGTACGGATGCTGAGACGGCGCTGCAGACTTCTCTGGCTCACTGGTCGAAGCTGAAGAAGCAGCAGACTTGGGCGGCATAGACGGTGTCGCACGGATATCAGCGAAGCGATTGCGATGAACTTCGAATTGGACAAACTCGATGGTCGTTAGCCCGCGAAGACGAGCCCAGTTGAACCAACGGCGGTTGAGCTGGTCGTAATGCTCTCGCAGCGCGAGCGCAAGGTCTTTGTCGCTTCTTACGCGCCCTTCGTTGACATCGAGATGGACGATCTTTGGTGTCAGGCGGCCCTCGTTCGCACAGGTCAGGAGCCAGGACTCTTGGACGAAGGACGGCATACGGACACTGAAGGGGTTGCTGGCGACGGTACGGGACGGGCTATACTTGGAAGGGTCGCTACCTCTAGTCCAAGAGTTAGGCCCACCGTATGTCGACGACGGCGTGGTCAATGTAGACGCTCTGCTGGACGAGTCGAAGATGGAGGCCATCGATGAAGCGGTGCTGCTTTGGCTAGTAGGGCTATGTGGTGTATGAGCTCTTGGGCGATTGAGATAAGCTTCAAGAAGGCGGGCAGCATTGGGTCGCTGTTCGATAAAGTCGTCATACAATGGCTCACCGCATGACTACATCTTGTTAGCATGGTCCATAGAAAGAGTATGCTGAGTTACTGACGCAAGTCCATCGCACACGAACATGCCCCTGCGGCACAGGCGGTTCAGTACCGAATGTATCACGAAGCAATCGAAAACCTTCATAGGCTTTGTCTGACAGCGCACTCAATGCAAGGCCCCAGTACCTCAATGTTGTGTTTCGACCACCAGTAGATGCCATCCGTATTTCTGCTTCCGGAGGTAGCGGTATCTCGCCAACATGATCGTCAATCGATGGCTCAATAATGGTGGGCACTACAGGCTTTTCGAAACTATCATCAAGATCCTCGTTCCCTGACTCAATTTGATCTAAAGCTCTTCTTAGCGCTTCACGGAGCTCATCTGCGCGACCCGCTCCTGCCGACTGGGGTGATAGCAGTGCGTTGGCGTCCTCGGTATCTATTGACGAAGAAGAGGATGATGCGTGCTTCCGTATCCTAGGTGATCTCTTGCGGCGCGTCGCTGGCGACACATGAGCTGACTTGGTCTGAGGTACGTCGGTGTTCAACCGTAAGCCATGTTTGGGTCTGGCAGGGACATGAAGATCGTCTGCTGATGCATGACGAAGATGCCGTGGCTTCGCCGCGCTCGTGTGTCGCATCGGTTGCGACCAGGTGGCATACTCATCGGACCCTAGATCAATTCCACTCGACTTTCGAGACACGGGACGGTTGCGTTCCCGCAAAGTAGTCGAGTTCACCAAATCCTCTACAACTTGACTATCGGATGCAAAGGTTGTCTGTCCCACGCGACGCTTGACGGATTTGTGAGCATCCGATCGTTTGAGGTCTAGATTCGCCGCTCGGCTCTTCACACGGGGACGCGTCTTCTTCTTCTCAACACCCTTTCGTACGGGCCCAACGAGTGACAAACCGCGGGTTGGCGTCTTCACGATACTGGAGACTGAGGCTGACCGGGTAGGAAACATTGATGGGGTCAGAGACGACGGTTCTGCATCAGTCTGATCTTCATCCATACGGTCGTGTATCGAGCGGATGTCTGGTATCAGAGTCTCAGCATCACTGAAGCCATCCTCTGCGATCGAAGTCCGGGCTAGACTATTGCGCGGCAGATGACTCCTTGGTGGAATCGCAGACGGCGGTGATCGTTGAACGCCTGATGTGTTGGAAGTACCGATCTCGAAGATATCGTCGCGACCCAAAAGACTGTCGGTATTCGATGCAACAGCCGAAGGAGGAGAATACAGTTCCGCAGGCAAAGTCGCCGAGTCAAGCTCTGGAGTCGCAAATTCCCGTTCTGAGCCAACCGCTTGACCCAAATCAACTTCTGCAATCTCGTTCGAGTCTGTCGACCCTTTCAACAAGCGCACCACATAGCCCTTTCCTTTCTTCTTGATCCTGGCCTTGATGTCGGTAAGTCGTTTGGATTGGGTGGAGGCCGTTGAGTCGCTCCGCGAAAACGACACATTCCAATCCGGCACTACCTTTTTGAGAAAGTCAGGAGGCACATTGTCCAGGTCGGCCCAGCCTTGCCTGTCGTGGAGAGGAGTGCTTGGCGGACTCGTATTTTGAGGAACTGAGCTCTCGATACTAGACTTGAAGCCATCTCGTAGAGTCGTAGACGCGGCAACATTAGGTGCACAGCTCAGAGGCACTCCGATCGATGATTGCTGTTTCGGGCCCAGGTTGAAGACGAGCTGGAATTGGCCAGGATTGCGTGCATCCTCTTGGAGATTGAGAGTGAACGGCACCGATTGCGTCTTTTCGTATTGTGGAAGAGGGGTTTCGCGCCCCGCATCAGAAGTCTTTGGATCATTGCTCATCGGGTGTTGTTGATTGAAGCGCAAAGGCACAGGAGAAGCGATTGAAGAAGCCTATCGCGATGCGAAAGTCAGCCACCAAAACCGTCAAGTGCTCACTTCAGCCTTGCGATGACAAAGGGTCGCCCTGCCTGAAACTGAGAGCCATAGAGACTTACCATGTTCGCATAGTGTTCGCGCCGCGATGCAGGAACAGTCGCCTGAGGGACGCAAAGAGGGGCGACATCTTGCTGGTTTTGACCGGTCCAGGCTGCAGTCAGCTGGAGTTTCAACGAACCGGAGAGGACTGCTGCGGTCGTTCCTGCACTGCCACCACTGCTGCAGAGCGATCAACGAGGCTGTCGTGCCGACCCGCTGATTGGCGAACTTCATCAGCCGAACGCAGCCAGCATCACATGCGTGGGTTGCCTCATCTCTATCTGTCTTCTTAACTCTGCCTTACCCGCTGAAGCGTGTATGTACGATTGCGCAGCCTCGATACATTATAGTACCTGCTCCTCGCCACCAGACGCGTCGCCGGTGTCGTCTTTCTGTGCAAACCTCCTACGCGTCACGCTCTGGCACGCCGCTGGAACTCAACAAACCTGTCCGATCGTGTACCAGACGAGATGCGCATCGCATGATCGCTGAATGGAATACGCAGTCCGCATCGATGATGTTGAGATAGACTTCGTGGCTCGAGGTAGCGAGCTGTCGCGTTCCATGGCACCCGTGGACGCGCCTTCCCGCTGCCAATGCCGTGCGTCATGCCACACCCATCTCCCACTCTCAGCCCCCAACCCGACATATACATACACCACCACAACACAACTGCGGCATACCTCCGATCTCCAAGATCTTGGCCATGATGCTCCGGAGAGACTCTCGTCACATGCTCTCATCATTCTTCCGGACCAATCTGTTCAGAGTTCTACCTCCGCGCCTCGGCACATTCGATGACTAGGCATTAGCTAAGTTAGCTAAGGCTTGCTCGGTGTATAAACTACCGCTTTCCCCGCAAGACACGAAGATCCTTGTTCCCCACAATTACTCCGGACAGCGGTCTCCAGATTCCCGCCATTGAACGACGTGTTTTCTGCGGAGAGCAAGGATGCTTGCTATGTGTGGCAGGGCGACATGACGTTAAACGGGCAGACTCCGAGAACTACCTCGCACCACCGACCGGGAACGAAATATCGATCACATGGTAGTATGGTAGATCCCGGTTGACTGGCCGGTAGAGTTGCATTGGCATTTGTTTATATACTTTGTTGATGCCGGCTGCGATTTTGGCTTCATCTTGCACATCTCTCAAGCCTTCAAGATGCGTCTCTCTACCCTCTTCCTGTCGCTCATCAGCGTCGCGACGACTGTGTCTGCGCACCCCAAGAAGGCGGCACAGCCTACCTTCTCCCGCAATGTGATCTTCTCACCACCCAGGGACGCCAACTGGACAGACCCCGGTGTCCTGTATGCGCGCAGTGCTCAGCTCGCTGACGGTTCGCTCCTCGCAACCTGGGAGAACTACTCGCCAGAGCCACCAAAGGTCTACTTCCCCATCTTCAAGTCATCCGACGGCGGAAAGTCATGGAAAGAGTTCTCGCGCGTACAAGACACAAAGAACGGCCTCGGTCTGCGCTACCAGCCATTCCTCTACGTTCTTCCTGAGGCAATTGGTGGCTACAAGGCCGGCACTGTCCTCATCTCTGGTTCCTCAATCCCCACCGATCTCTCAACCACCGACATTGTTCTCTACGCCTCCAAGGATAGCGGCAAGACTTGGGAGTTCGTCTCCTCGATCGCCAAAGGTGGCGAGGCTCGTCCCAACAACGGCCTAACTCCCGTGTGGGAGCCTTTCCTGATGATGAACAAGAAGACTCTCATCTGCTACTACTCCGACCAGCGCGAGAACGCCACCTACGGCCAGAAGATGGTTCACCAGACCACCACCGACCTCAAGACCTGGGGCGCAGTCATTGACGACGTCACCTACCCCACCTACACCGACCGTCCTGGCATGCCCACAGTCGCCAAGCTCCCCAACGGAAAGTACATCATGACCTACGAGTACGGTGGCGGACCTGCCATCACCACCTCATACCAGTTCCCGGTCTATTACAAGATCGTGTCCGACCCCGAGAAGTTCGGCGAGGCCACCGGTATCAGCCTCAAGTCCACTGACGGCACCATCCCCACTGGTTCTCCATACGTCGTCTGGAGTTCTGCTGGCGGCAAGAACGGAACCATCATTGCCAGCGCACACAGCAACTCGGAGGTGTTCATCAACAAGGGTCTTGGAGAGGGTCCCTGGGTCAAGGTTGCTACTCCCGAAGCCACCTCTTACACTAGGCATCTTCGCGTCCTCAAGGACCAGTCTAAGTTGTTGATTATGGGTGGTGGAGAGCTGCCTCCTGCTAGTAACAACTCAGTTACTGTTACTGTTGTTGATATCAGCAAGTGGTAGATTGGATGTAGTAACATTGAAGCAAGAATAGTATCAATAGAATACACATGAAGTTACCATTCTTCCGCCTGATTGACAGATGTATCCCAAGTTGTGCGATGACTCCGATAATTATGAGTTGAAGATACTGAAGCATACAAGTATACTGTCTTCCGTCTAAAATACCTGTCTCAGCGCTGGCGCGCGACTTCGGAAAAGTTCTAATGTCCACCACGCATAGGATAATACTTAAATAAAGACCGACGTACGAATGTATTCGTGTTAAACACATTGGCTAGTCCTTGCCACGATCGGATGAAACCGTATTGCAGTATCAACTATTTGAGTCCTGGGTGGCCTGTGAAGCACGCATGTTCGATACCAGCGATACCAATCGCTCTCGAGCGACGTACAAGAAGAGCTTGTAAAGTTGTGTCCAACTACACAATTGGATAATGACGATATTCGGGTCGATGTTCCAGATGTCGCAGGCTTGGAAAGAGTGATAGTTCGCAGCCCCACCTAGCGCGCCCCTAGCGCCGGCCCGACCATTGTTCCTAAGCGAGCCACCGTGGGTCGCTGAATTTGGCTCTCGCGATATCTTCGAACGCCGCAGCATTCAACGACAAGCCCACGGAACCGCCTCTCTCCACCTCCCAATTCCAAACCAATACCGCAATCATGCCCGGAGTTTCCGTCAAGGACATCGAGTCCCACAAGTTCGTCGCCGCCTATGCCGCCTTCTTGAAGCGTCAGGGAAAGCTTCCCATGTAAGTTTTGGCCTTGCGCAAAACCACGCGATGTCCAATGCTAACGTTATGCCAGTCCAGGTTCGTCTCTATCCAGCGGGTGAAGGATGAAGCCTGAATCCCGTAAATGGGGGATAACCTCAGTTCGCTGACCACTTATCTACAGGCTGGGTTGACACTGTCAAGACAAGCCGTAAGAATCAGATCCCCCACCCATGCGAGAAACTTCAACTAACATGCGCAGACTCCAACGAGCTTCCTCCCCAGGACATTGACTGGTTCTACGTCCGCGCCGCCGCTGTCGCCCGCCACGTCTACATGGTATGCAGAATGCCCACAACGAACACATGAAGGGACGGAATGCTGATGAATTACACAGCGCAAGACCGTCGGTGTCGGCCGCCTCCGCAAGTTCCACGGCTCCACCAAGAACCGCGGTTCGCGCCCCTCCCACCACGTCGACGCCTCCGGCTCCGTCGACCGTAAGGTCATGCAGGCTCTCGAGAAGATCGGTGTGCTCGAGCAGGACGAGGACAAGGGTGGCCGCCGCATCACACAGTCCGGCCAGCGTGATTTGGACCGTATCGCGCAGACCACTCTCGAGGCTGAGGAGGAGGAGGATGACGAGTAGATTATCACCTTCTACGCGGAACATGTGTAAAAGAGCTGTCTAGCATTTGATTGCGGGGCGGCATTACGGATCTACCACGGTTTACGGCTTATGGCGTTGAAAGACATGATTGAGTCGGGCCTGCTTTTAGCCTAGGACTTCCAATGACACTGGGCTTGGGCCTCAAAAGCAACATGATACCCTCTACTTCGACAATCATGTGCGAACTCTTTCTATTCTGTGACTTCGCCTTTGCTATGATCGCCGTTGGAGTATATGCGCACTTGACGATGTGACGTCCTAGAACGCACGTCACATATGGACTTCTAACACGTCATGCACATACCCATCGAATGTCAATATCTGCAATTTGCAGTACTCTCTATATCCAAACTCCATGCACTCCTGGTGCTCCTCAGAACAGGTCAGTCATAGCACCATGACTGGCATCCCCAACCAACCTCGCATACTTCGCCAACACACCCCTCGTGACGGGCATACTGGGCGCCACCCACTCCCTCAACCGCCTATCAATCTCCTCCTGCGGCACATCCATATCAATGCGATTCTTCTCCGCATCAATCGTAATCATATCGCCGTTCTGCACGACCGCAATAGGCCCACCGACCGCAGCCTCAGGACAAATATGGCCAACGATGAACCCATGAGAAGCGCCAGAATACCGTCCATCAGTGATGAGCGCCACGTTGGTAAGTTTAGCACCCATAATGGCAGCCGAAGCTTTGAGTTGTTCAGGCATGCCAGGACCGCCTTTGGGGCCTTCGTAGCGGACGACTACGACGACGTTTTCGCCGTGGGGGATTTGGCCGAGGTTGAGGGCGCGGTCGAGCTCGTGTTCTTTGTTGAAGACTATGGCCTTGCCGGTGAAGATTAGGCCTTCTTTACCCGTGATCTTTGCGACGGCGCCCGAAGGCGCGAGGTTGCCGCGCAGAATCTCGATGTGGCCGGTAGGTTTGATGGGGTTGGACAGGGGCCGGATGAGGACTTGGTCTTGGGGGAGGGACGGGTAGGATTCGATGTTTTCGGCTAGGGTTTTTCCTGTCACGGTGGGTATGCTGCCGTCGAGTAGGTTGGCTGCGACGAGCAGTTTCATGACGGAGGGCATGCCGCCGATGTCGAAGAGGTCTGCGGCCATGTACTTTCCTGATGGCGCGAGGTCGGCGAGGAAGGGGATTTTGTTGGAGACGCGCTGGAAATCGTC